ATATATATATGCATATATGTATGTGTATAGTTATATGGATATGTATATGTATATATGTATATATCTATATGTATATGCATGCCTCTATTATCTGCAGAAGCTGCATGTCTGCATACATGCAGTCACCCGTGTGCAGAGGCACAGCGTAGATCGTCTCTGCTCTCCCAGGGCCGTGGTGCTTCGCAGAGTGTCGTCCGCAGCTCCTCCAAGCTGAGCCGCGGGAGCCGCGGCAGCCGCGGGCGCAGCCCGTCTAAGGGCTTTCAAGGTACCGGACGTGCAGAGTCCAAGAGCAGCCGGGGCAGCCGGGGCGTGGACTCTGATGACAGATCCGATGCTCCTTTGGAGGACGGCATATTGGGTGGGGCATGAGACGGAGAGAGTTCAAGTCCGAAACTTAGACTTAGACCTAGTGTAGTAGTGACTCCTGCATGAGGAGGACGAAGACGAGCAGGAGGAGTCGCAGCCTGCGAAGTCCGAGACGCGAAAAGTGTCCGCGACAATTTCAAAGGCCCGAAAGCCCCAGTTGCTTTCTAAAAAGCACGTTCTCGAAATGTGAATGAAGCTTCTTGCCGATGTCATCACCGAAACCGCAAAGTCTGGTTGCTGGTTTTTCGATTCCCCAACGCTAAACCCTAAACCCTATGTTGCACTACGATGCATCGCTCCGACTTGGCAGGAGGTTCCGGAAGTCTTCGAGGCGGTTCGGGCAGTTCACAGGGCCGTGAATCAAATAATAGCTATAATATATAATATAATATAAAACAATATTATTTCATAAATGTCGTGAAGAGAACGCAGGAGAAGAGAGCGACGGCGGCTTGTTTCCCGCCTGGGCCGCAGAGCAGTAGACAGCCATGATTCCTTGCAAACTGCCGGGGACAGTCCGGGCGAATGGACCCCGCTCTGGCCCACACTTTCGCAGGCCTCCGCCCCCCAAATTTCCGCATAAACCCCTAAACCCAAACCCAGAAACCCCAAAACCAAAAACTCAGGCCTGGTTTTGTTTGGCACGACGGCGCGGACCCCACGCTTGTCGACAACCTCGAGGTCGCCCCCTGAGGTTTCCTTGCGACCTTGCGTTGTTCTGGCTGTTGAGTCGAAAATAGGCAACCCTAATATAGTACGCTAAATAGTAGGATCCTTATTATAAGGACACCAAAAAAAGACACCCCTAATTGTGCTGCGTGGCTCAGAAATACCTCAAGTGGGAGGCCACGGGGAAGGACTGCTGGTTTCATGTTCGTGCGGTAAGCTGTCCGTGTCTGCGGGCTTTTGGCGTGGCGTCAGGAGCTCGGGGATGTCGAAGAGCGTGACATTCATCCAGGCTTCCACGCAGGCGGACCCTGGCAGTGACAATTCGGGGGTATAGTGCAACAGTATGCCAAAGCATGCTCTGAGCTTTGGAGCACGTCGGGCAGAGGCTATGCTTCCCTAGGACCTAGAAGGTCTCCTTTCTTGTGACGTCCCCCCACCAAGGAAGCAGCCCCTAAACCCTAAACCCTAAACCCTAAATCCTAAACCCCTAAACCCTAAACCCTATGAGCAGGAAACCTGAGGGGCATGGCCCGGCTTGCACGGCAGCAGCACCAGTCGCTCCTCCTCCCGATCGTGGAGCCCGGGGGCCCTGGAACTTCAAGGGTGCACAGGGGGACTTTCCGACAATTAGGGGTACCTTATTTTGCGGTCCTTATAGTAAGGATACTATTTGGGGTACTATCTTAGGGTCCCCTATTTTCGGAAACCCCCGCAAGGGAAGGGTATCGACAAGACTGCCCGTCATCATCGCGATAATTTAGAGTACGCCAGTGTTGACAGTGTTCATCATGCCAGTAGCTGCCATGGCAAGATGAAGTTGTAAGTAGCAGCGTCGAGTTCAGAGAGTGCTTGGCTTGAAGACGCTCCGTAGAGGAGTCAGTAGAGGGTTTGGGTCAAACTCAACTGCAACTTTTTCGGACATGCTCCCCATCTTCCGTTTAGGAGAGCTGGAGTTCTCCAAGACCGACTCCCGAAGTCTGATGGCTTCAGTCACCTCAGTAGTATCAAGAACGATTAGGATTGAATGCCCGCAATTAGCCAATAAAAGAGACGTAGTTGATGGACACGCGTGAAACATTCCTACTTGTAGCCGGCATCATGCGAAACTTTTCTCTGCAGTTCTTCTTCCAAGGCCCATGACAGGGCGCTCGGCATCTTGGTTGCATGCGGGAGCGGGTAGTCTGCAAGATGAATGAAAATGCTTTCTCATGGCAGTTTGCATCTCAACGTCAACATATGCTGTCGTGCACAGCTATGGCACGCCGCTCGTGCGCGCACGCACGTCGGGACTTTGGACTTTAGTTGCTCAGACTCGTCGTTGCAGCGGTCTTAGTCCAGGCGAAATCGCACTCCTACTCCGCCGACACCCTCTACTACTCCTGCAGCACATTGCGGGAGAGCCGGCGCAAGAAGCGAAAGCGCGGGGCCATGAAGGGCCCAGGAGGGAAGCAGGCCGCCCGGGCCCTGGCAGGCTGAGACCGTTTCTAAGCTCTTCTGTGCCAAGCCTGAGGCTCTTAGGGTTTGGGGTTTAGGGTTTAGGCTTAGGGTTTCGGGTTTGGGGTTTAGGGTTTAGGGTTTAGGGTTGAGGTTGAAGTGTGGCGTTACCAGGTCAGGTTTTGTTTTCCGAAAGGGTCACCACCGGTGCAGATTTCATCTAAAGGGACCTCCCGGCATCCCGAACATCGTTGTCTCGTCTCCTGGTGTCCAGGTTATCCTGTGTTCCGGTCTCCGTCATCTCAAACTCCAACAGTCCCTGCGTCTCGGTGTTGGTGCTTCCCTGGTCATCCGATGTCATAGCAGCGCTGTGTGCTGCGGTCGTGGTTACTCCTTATACTCTGACTCCGACTCTTACCCCTACCCCTACCCGTACCTCCTCCTCCTGCTCCTACTCCTACTCTTGCTGCTACTCTTTGTCCTACTCAGACTCCTACCCCTACTCCTCCTCTTGGCCTACTCCTCCTCCTCCTGCTCCCTGCTCCTACTGCTTCTATTGCCAATGCTACTCCTATTCCTACTACTCGAACTTTTACTTCTCTCGCAAATCCAGATAACGGCCACACAACAAGAGCAACGGTGCCACGAAAGTCTCCAATCCTTTTATAGCGTATGGGATGGATTGCAAGAATGGTGTTGTCGCTATCGCAGTTTCAAGCCGAGTCAGTGTCCTTGACCCGTAGCGTTGCAAGGCGCGGAGTTTGGAGACGCCTCAGAAGTGGAGCTGGGCCACGCAGGAGCGCCACACGATGGCGAGAGTTTGAATGGCTCACTAACGAACTCCAGGCCTAACGAAACCCAAAGCTCCAGTCCGCTCAGGAGGAGCCGGCCTTCCGGCAGCTTCCCATCGAGAACGGCCCACAGCCTCGAGCTCGAGATCTGCTGTCGCAATCCCACCACTTGCATCTTATCCCCAGAGGTTCTCCAGGATGAAGGCCGGGTCTGAAGCTGCTGTTCGTATGTTGCTGGCCTCAAAACAGCGGCGTCGCAATGTGTCGCTTCTGTCATCATGACTGTCTCTGTCACGATTGTGGTTCCTCTTGCTCTAGTTTGGTCGCTAATTCCATTATGGTCAAGGATGACTATGGTTGCTGTGATGTTTTTTGTCTTCTTGTTGTTGTTGTTGTTGCAAGTGTGTGCCTGCTGTCTTGTCATTGCCACTCTTGCTGTATTGCTATTGCTGTTCCTAGTGTTTCCATTCACTCCTCCCCCTCCTCCTCGTCCTTCTCAAACCTCCTCACCCTTGTCGCTGTTGCTGTTGCTGCCGCAACTGTGGGTCCGCTGCCGTTGCTTAATGCAGCTGCCATGACCATGGATGCTTAGTGGGGTTAGGGTTTAAGGTTTAGGGCTTTAGGGTTTAGGCTTTTACGTTTTAGGGTTTTTAGGGTTTAGGGTTTTAGGTTTTGGGGTTTAGGGTTTTTAGAGTTTAGGGTTAAGGTTCAGGGTTTTAGGGTTTAGCGTTTAGGGTTTAGGGGGCTTACCTGAGCTGCAGGTGCCGGGAGCGCAGTCCCAGCACATCCTGAGCCTCGAGTAACCGCCGCAAAAGTTAAGGTTGTGATGCTGAAAGTAGTTACATACAGAGATACGGTAGTAAGAAGAAGAGTCATAGACAATGACCGCCATCCTCGTCCTCTCCACTGCCACGCATCATCATCATCATCGTCATCATCATCATCATCACCAGCCAGCACCATCACCATCGTCAGCATCGTCATGAGTGCCAGCATCGCCAGCATCAGCATCAGCATCACCATCGCCATCTTATCTCTGCAACAATGAAAACGGCAAGGACAACAGTTTTTAATTTGATGCGCGGTCCATGTTGCGGGCGTGTGCGACGGCAGCCCGGTCATGCGCCTGAAAGTCACAGCCGGATTCGCTCTTCCAGAATTCAACCCTGCATCTTTATTTCTCGCGATGCGGTGGGTTCGGTGGTTAGCTGGAGTAGAGCCCACAGAAATCATGCGAGCGTCGATCGGGTGTTCTGAATACCCAGCCGCTGGATGGGGAAGTGTCTGCGAAGCCGCCAAAGGCGGTGGAAGAAAGCCGCTGCAGTCTCACTTTCAGCCCAGTCGCTCATCTGACGTTGAGCAGGAAGCAAAGTTTTTCGTGACGGTCCGGGGGTAGTGACATCAGGCTCGGATTTCACATCCAGCAAGTGCCGCCACTTTTCTCAAATAGCTAGGACCCAGGAGTTGACCGAGTTCCATTCCCCAGGTCCCAAACTTGAGGTAGGGTTCAGGGTTCAGGGTTTAGGGTTCAGGGTTCAGGGTTTCAGGGTTTAGGGTTTTAGGGTTTAGGTACCGGTACCAATCGGATCAGCTCAGTGGCCTGAAGTCGGCAAACGGCAGTCTGCCAGAGAACAGCTGAACAAAGTCCTTCCGCTCACAATCCGTGGCAGCATGCCGGCAGCGACGATCCTGCGCCCTGGTTGCATGTAAGGAGCTGGCTTCAGGCTTTTGGCGGCTAGGGTACTTCGCGCCATGTTTAGGGTTTAGGGTTTAGGCGGGTTTAGGGTTTAGGTGTTTAGGGGTTCAGGGTTTAGGGTTTAGTTCCCTGTCCCAGAAACTAGGTTTGCTGGTGCTGGTTATGATGCACAGGAGGAAGTAAGGCCATTCCGACCAACTGTCGTTGTCGGATCTCGTTTGTTCATCCGCTGCTCGCTGCTTCCGGTACACTGAGCACGAAGCCCTGTCTGTCCTGTGCTCTTGGAGGCCCGAAGGCCCCATGGAGGCCGGCAAGGAAGACGAAGGAGCCGCACTCTTAGGCGGGATCTCGCGATGTCATTTTTTTCGCCTGCCCCGCCTCGCCTCGCCGCTTTGTTGCTTTGTGGGACGTGCCGTGTGCCGGGCATGTCTTGCAGATTTGCAGGTGCATCCGAAATGTCCGAGTTTCCTCGTGAGGAACCCAGCCTACGGTTCAGAAAATGAGTGTACAGTGCCTCGTGACGGGTGCCGAGGCCTGCGACCTTACGCCGCCTTGGGCCTGCTGAGCATAGTGGTGGTGGCTTCTGCAGGCCGCGCATGAGACGTGAAGAGGTTCCTCAGCTTCTCCGTCTGTTCATCGCCCTTGCAGGACTCCTACTTCCAAAGCGAGGCGGGGTTTTCTTGAGCCGAGGCAGAAAACGAAGAGAATGTTTGGTTACAGTTCAGGAGAGACTCCGGCTCTATCCGAACCTTCTGCAAGGCACCCCACGGGGTTTGCCTTTGCTGCATGGCCTCTTGCGGGTCCCGAGAAGCTTCACAGGCTGTCGGAGGCGGCCGTGCAGACCACAACGCCCGCCAAGTTCTGGCTGATGTGCCCGCAACCCAGGAGGTTCTAGGGCTCGGGCCTATGATGCCATTCCGGTGCTGCTGATGAAGCTGCTAGTTACTGAAGACTGTATCCAAAAGTGAAAATTTCCTTTATCTATCCGTCCATCTCTGCATCTTTCTCCTGTATGCATGCATGCATGCATGTATGTACATACATATGCATGAAGGTATGAATGTATGAATGTATGAAGGTATGAAGGTATGAAGGTACGAATGAATGAATGAACGAATGAATGAATGAATGAATGAATGTATGCAAGCATGCATATGCATATACATACACAGGTACACATACGTGTCTGCGTGTATGCATGTGTATGCATACCCGCATATATATATATGTATGTATGTATGTATGTATGTATGTATATATATGTATATATATATACACACACACACTTATGTAAGTATCTTTGGACACGTCCCTTTCGGAGTACCCGTATGGACATATACATACGTATACATATATATATATATGTATATGTACATGTATATGTATATGTATTTGTATGTGTATGTGTATGCGTATGTGTATGTGTATGCGTATGTGTATGTGTATGTGCATGTGCATGTGTAGATGTAGATGTAGATGTAGATGTATATGTATATGTATGCGTGCAATATGGACCTGTCTGGCTCTGTGTATGCAGATCAACATTTGTACACTTTCGCCGAGTGTGATCACGAGCAGGGTAGCTTGCAGCGGAGCTTTTCGGTGCCGGCACCGAGGCCCGGATGACTGCATTTGGTTGGGCAAGCGAGCGCCCGAGTGGGTAGCAGTAGTAGTAGTCGTAGTAGCATTTGTAGTGGCGGTAGGAGCAGTAGTAGTAGCAGTAGCAGCAGCAGCAGTAGTAGTAAGAGGAGGATTGGAGTCGGAGTAGGAGTAGGAGTACCAGTAGGGGTAGGAGTAGGAGTAGGAGGAGTAGTGGTGGTGGTGGTGGTAGTAGTAGTAGTAGTAGTCGAAGTAGTAGGCGTTGTCATAGTGGTGGTTGTAGTAGTAGTCGTCGTCG